GGAGAGCCCGGCGCCGAGGGAAGGGCGGGAGGTCACACCGGAGCGGGGAAGGGATGCGCCAGTGCCGTCCCAGGGGAGAGGAAGGAGCTGCCTCTTTCCTTACCTGCCCAGGATCTTGCTGACACAACCGTGGCTGACCCGCAGCTGCCTGGAAATGTCACAGGGTCGCACCCCCTGGTGAGCCAGCTCCACTATCCTTTGTCTCACCACGTCAGGTAGGGGCCTGCCGTTCACAAACACCCCCCCGAGCTGGTTCACACCCCCGTGCCCTGCTGGGGAAAGAGAAATAAAAAAAACACAACAACCCACGCACACCAGAGACACACCGTTAGTCGTGGATTCTTCGGCACTGGTACTGCAAAATCTCCAGTCACTACAGATGGATGGAGGTGATGGCGGGGAGTCGAGAGGGGGGAACAAGACGTGGGGGGGAGAGAGAAGAAAAGAAAAACAGAGAAAGAGCAAGAAAGAGGAAAAAATGCGGGGAAAGAAAGAGAAAGAAAGAAAGAAAGCTAACGAGAGAAAGATACAGAAAGGAAAGAAAGAGGAAAAAGAGCGTGAATGAGAGAAAGAAAGAAAAGAGAAAGGAAAAAAGAAAGAGAGAGGGGGAAAGATGGGAAGGAACGAGAAGGCAGTGTGAATTTTCTCGAGCCGGAGGCTAGCCGGGGACTGTCCCCCCCGTACGCCGTCTCCCCTCCCTGGGCCGGAGAGCACCTCTCCCGCCCGCGGTCCCCGCCCGGGACGCCGGAGCGGCGGCTTCTCAGGGCCATTGTGGTGGGGCGAGGATGGAGGCAGTGCCCGCTCCGGCTCCTCTCCCAAGAGTTGGGGAGAGGTGCTCTCCCAAACTCCGGAGCTCAGCTGCTTAGCGGCTACGGGCGGACCCTGCCGCAGTCCCCCTTCCCTCTACTCTTGGGCTTTTCCTCTCTCCTTTCATTTTCTTTCCACGATTTTCTATCACATTGTCAATTACAGTTGCTCGGGAACCCCTCCCTCCCTCACCCCGCGGCGTGTCCCCCATGCAACGCGTCCTCGCCCGTTATTTTCGGATGAGGGTTGAAGGGATTCAGAGAGAACAAGAGAAAGGGAAAGAAATGTAGGGAGAGGGAGGGAGAGAGAAAGAAAATATTTTGTGTCCCGCGGCCGGTGTTCCTTTACAGACAGACCCTCTCTCTCCTCAGCTTTCGATCTTTAAAGGAAAAAATCCTCCAGTTAAAAAAAAAATAATCTAACAGACTCGCACGGTTCCGTCTTCCCCCCCGACCCCCAGTCTAATTCGGGGAGAATTTAAAATGCTCCGTTTTCCTCTGTTCTCCCTTTCCAGGCAAAAACCCGCTCTGTCTCGGATAGGACTGCTCGGATCGCTTTTTTCCCGATCTTTCTCCATTTCGAGAAATAACTTGGGGAAAAAATAAGCATGCACCTGCTAAGCACGGGCAGGAGGAACGGAGTGACGGGAATAAAGGGAAACACCTCCTTCGGGGACTCGGGAAGACAGGCGGTTGTGAGCCGCCTGCACCTGGGGTGGTCTGCATTAGAGACGGGAGCAGTTCGCCTTTGCCCGGGCGGGTGGGGAGATGCACACTCGCAGGCGGTGCAGCTTCGCTGGCGCTGCTACCTGGGTGTCTCTATCTCCGGAATATCCAGCTGATATAGCTGTGGAGTTCACACTGTATTAAAGCTTTCCTTTCACACAACCCTAACCTTCTGTATCTTCCTCGCCAAGAGATCTTAGTTCGTTTTGCAGTTTGCTGAAAAATGGTCTGTTTGTATTTTCGCTGAGGTTTTTTTCTCCCCTGCTTCTGACACTGACTTATTGGCTCTGAACTTAGTGGAAACTCTCATTGCCCTGCGATCGATCCAAGTCCTTTCGCACAAATAGAGTTTTTTCCATCTCCCCCACCCCTTCGGTAACACCTCCGCGTATCCCCTCCCAGCCGCCTCGGCCAGGGCGCCGGCTGGCTTCCCCGTCCCTTCCCCGGTGAGCCCGGTTTAGTTGTTGCGGTCTTTTGTTAGGCTTTCTTAAAACGTATTTAGGGTTTCCGAGGGGAAGGGGGGGGATATTTATCTTTCCCCACGAAAACCCGCGGGTATATGTTGCTGTGCGTTTTCTTCATTTGTTCAGAAGCCCTTCTGCACATGTTGCCTCTAAAGTTACAAGGCAGCAATTTCCTCGGCAACTCCACGATAAATAATTCAAAGCACCCTTTATAACTCGCATTACAAAGTATTAAAAGGCAACAGATGCAAAAAAGATTAAAAAATTAATAATTCAAATTATTGCAGCCCGGATAATTTTCACACGAGTTTGTTTTGCTCTGCCCCGTGCTTTTCTGAGGTAATTCCTATCAGAGCAGTAAGGTATTTACGTGTATTTCGCTGCGTGTGAGGGCCGGCGTCCGTGCGTGCACGTACCCAGCCAGCCGTCCCGCTTTCCTACGGACGATCGTGTTTTGCTGTTTCTGCGTGTGTGTGTGTCAGGAGCCCGCGCCCCTGGGTATTTTAATTGGTTACTAATATCTAGGTCTGTAGAACTAGAAATACATTTTAGGGAACAAATCAAATGTTGATTTTCTTTCTTTCTTTCTTTCTTTCTTTCTTTCTTTCTTTCTTTCTTTCTTTCTTTCTTTCTTTTTTTTTTAATCGGGAGCCAGAATTGTTCACGAATCTCATTGGAGTTTTTTAAAAATCAGAGACGGCGAAATGCCTCTTTCGGCTGCCTGCATGTTCCGGATCGCAGCGGAGGCAGAATTACTGCCATCGCGCCTGAAAGCAGGTCGCACCGCTGAAAACTAAAAATAACGTCTAATGCACGGACTGTTTTCTGCTAAAGGTCTTCGAAAATCAAACCCTACATTTTAAGCGATGTATCCTGGAAATCACTGATTTAGAAACAGGAGGACAGTTGCCGACATCCACCTTGGGGGATCTGATCACGGGTTTGTGTTTCTGCGCCTTCCTTCTCACGGCGAAATCGGGATTTTTTTAAACTTCAAGCCTTTCCATTTTATATCTTTTCGGTTTGTTTTTATGCGGCGGGCAGGGCGTGTCCTCAAAAGTTTCGGTGTCAAAAGTTACAAATTGCTCTTAATTATTCATTTCCTGACTCAAGATGCTCTCAACCTCGGCTTTCTATTTGTATTTCTTTCTTTAATTTAAATCTCGGAATTATTTTCCCTCCGTGCGGTGAAATTAAAATCCCTGAAAATTCCTTGTTGCAGTCCCTGGCAAAGGGGTCTTTCCGCTTTCCTTCGTCCCCCTCTTATAGAGGGGTTCTTTAAAGTGAAAATACATCACGAACGCACTTTCCTCTGTGCCAGGAATGCATTTAAAATGCACACCGGGGATCTGGTAAATAAACCAGGAGGGACCGTGACTTCTTGGGAGCCTCCGAAGCCGCCCAGATCTCCTCCCCATACAATTGTCCTATTTTTCCCGCAGTCCAACCTTTCGCCAAACCGAACCAAAACGAAGCACGGAACAGCCACCGACCAACCCGCCATTAATTTGAAACTGGCGTCTCCCCTCTCTCTGCCACTGAAATCCGAAATCAAAGCAAACGGCAACAGATCGCGGGGGAAACCGTGGGTTTAGAGCCACGCAGGGCTGCGGGAAGCCCCGGCCCGGCGGGGCAGGGACAGGGAAGGGGTCCGGCCCGGGAGGCCGACACGAGTCGCGATGAACTCGTGCGGTCCGCGGGGCGACGGGGAAAGTGCCTTTGCGGAGGA